GGTTTCGACTGTTTTAATTTATAGAAAAAAAAGTTTAAAAAAAGTTAAATTTTTTTAAAAATATTCCTTTTAGATAGAGCCCCAAATCCTTAGATAGAACAGATAAACCTCACCTTTTTACTATTTTATGGGTGAATTTTGCCGTACTCTATTAAAAAATATTTTTATTACTTAATTATTTTTAAGAATATTTTTTGAAAAGTTTTTTTCTTTTTTTATTTAAAAGTACATGTTAAATGTAGTATTGTTAAACTAAATATGCATTGCGCAGACAATCAAAAAACAACGAGAATAATCAATTTTACATTTAAACTTTTTTTTATTTTTTTTGTTAAAAATAAATCAATTAAATTTATTTTTTCTTTAATTGGAGAATATAAAATGTGCGCAAATTAAAAAAAATTTTTTTTAATTTTAAAATTTCTCCCCCCCCCCCTTTCTTTTTCTTCTACTCTAAGCTTTTACATTGTTGTAAAAATACTCTCTAATAATTATTAAAAGGTCTATCCATTATAAAAATCCTTATTTAAAGGCAGTCTTCTTTTTAAATTAAAAAAAAAGATTTTAGCTAAGCTTTTTTTCTTCTAATTTTTTACGCTTTTGGTTGCCTTGGGAAGGCGCTTTACACTTTTTATTTTTACTTTTTTTACCTGGCTAAAATAAATATTTTTAAATTAATAAATTAGAGGAAACCTTTTTTTAATTAAAATATTGGATTAAATAAATACTTTATTTAATATATTTTTGTCCTTTCTAAACAAAATATTTAATAATCAAAAATCAGAAAAGAATTAATTATTTTCTGTATTTTATTGACAATATTAAATTAATTAAAAATAAATTAAAATGACAACCCCACAACCACCCAGAAACCTTCATGCTCCTTTGCGTCGTGTGCTTCCTGAAAAGCAAAGTAGTGGAGTTCAAAATGTGGTTGGTTAATTAAATAATTTTTTAAAAAATCTTTGGAGAAGGAGAAATAAAAATAAAAGGGAAATTCTTTAATAAAAAAAGCCAAAAATTCGGGAAAGGACTACATATAGATGGATATCACTCCTAGGTTTAAAAATGAAACTAGAAGAAAATTGGATGGATATGATCCGGGAAAGCTAGGAATTATCGATAACAGTTTCATCCTTGTATCTTCAAAAAAACAGGAAAGGACCAGGACTGAGCTCAGTTTTTGTTCTGATCTCTACGGTCAAAGTTTAGTTGAGGGTTTTTAAATGTAGTTGGCAGCTGTTAGGGAAGTGAGGTAGATGTCTAAGCATTAGAATCGAGCTGGATCTGAATCCAGATCCTGATTTTTCCTGAATCCAGAGTCCAGATCAAGGCATTTTCAACGCTCCTTGATTTTTCATTGACTCAAGAGGTCCTCACCTGGTCAAGGTCCTCTCTTAAAATTAAGTTCAATGGTCGAAGCATAAAACCAAGCATAGAATCAAGGTCAAGATTGTTTGAAAATCTCGATCTCTACTAAGCATACCTCCATTTTAGTGGACTTTCAGTATACGATTTTTTAAGCCTAAATTTACAGTAGGGTTAGTTGTATTTCTAAAAAATTTAAATTATTTTAATTTAATTAATAAGGTAATTCAACAACAACAACAACATATATCCTCACACCCTTTACTATTCAATTTAAAATCCAACGACACCACAACCTCAGTAGATTCGAGTTATTCCTCAGACCATTCCACACTTTCACGAGAAACTAGCGACAGTTCAAATACTTCTTCCTCTTCAAAAGAATTTTTTGAAAAAAATTTTTTAGAAGAATTATCTTCTGTTCCCCCTTCAAGTCTTTCCGAGGAAAAAGAAATAAATGATTCTTTATTAGAATTTGCAATTAGATTGGGGTTTGATAAACAACAATTAAAAATTGTTTTAAATAAATTAAATAAAAATGGACAAAAAGAGGAGGACGATAAAGTTTTGTTGGAATTAATTAAATTGGGAGGAAGAAGAAAGGAAGAAGAATTAATAGAAAATAATTGTAATAATTATTTAAAATTATTACGCCCTATTGTTATTGATGGAAGCAATATTGCTATGACGTAAATATTTTAGTTAATTAAATTAATTAAATATACCCTCAGTACTGTAAAGGCTAAAATAACTACCCTGGGTAATTCTTGTTTCAACTTCTCACTAGTGGGGTTACTTATTTGAGAGGGGCATTTATGGCATTTATTTGAGAAGGGGCAGTTATTCGAGCACGTAAAGGAAGAATAGTCAGATCTTTATTTTACTTACACTCTTTGGAGACGAAAAAATTGTACGTAAAATAGAGGTCTGACTGTAATTAAAAATATACAATTTTATAATGAAAAGATAAGACTTTTTATTAACTAGAGCTATATTAACGTGAGAATTCTGATTTTTAATTTCCTAAAATTAATTAAAGAATTTGGCATATGCTTTCTATTTTAATCCGATGTTTGAAAGCTCGCACACAAAAATTTTAGGATATTTGTAAGGAGTATAAGAAATCAAAATTTCCAAACAATGCCCATTACATTTCTTTAAAACAAAAAATTTAAGAGGGTGTCAGTCACAATTGCCACCCTACATACAATCTTTTAAATTTTAATAATTTTTTTAAATTATTCTAGTCACGGAAACAAAGCATTCTTCTCCTGTCGTGGTATTCGTGAATGTGTTAATTACTTTACAGAACGTGGACATACAGACATTTTAGTTTTTGTCCCTCAATTTCGTCGAGAACAATCTAGATCAGATTCTCCAATTATTGATCAGCATATTTTAAATGAATTGGAAAAAGAAGGAAAATTAATTTGGACACCAAGTAGAAGAATGTAGTTAAATTAAAAATTTGAACAAAATAAAATTTAAAAAATTTTTAAGAGGTGGAAGGAGAATTGTTTGTCACGATGATCGTTATATTTTAAAAACAGCCTCGGAAAAACAAGTAAAAAATATATTTAAACTCAGGTTTTACATGCCTTTGGTTATAAGACCTCCCCTCTTGGAGGGAACTACAGTCGGACCTAAGATACCCCTAATACTACATAGAGAAGATACACCTCTATTTAAGAGACGTCCTTTAAAAGGTTGGCTATTAAGCGGAAAGCTGCCTAAGCACCTCCTATTTAAAATACACTTCATTATATGAGAAGGCCTCTTTATAAGATACTCCCAGTATTAGCACCTCCATTGCACCTCCACCTCCATGGCTATTTGTATAAGGGAGTTGCTTAAGCAGATACCTCTTACTTAAGATAACTTTATTTGTAAGATAAAGTTTTTCAAAAATGTATCTTATATCGAGGTCCAAATAACCAAAGTTGACTTATAATTTAAAAAATAATTTAGAAAATATTTTTAAATATTTAAAGGCAGTAATTGTTTCCAACGACGAATATAGAGATTTGGTTAAAGAAAATCCCCGATGGCGTTCTGTCGTTGAAAATTATCTTTTAATGTATAGCTTTGTTGATGGAAAGTAAATTAAATAATTAATTTTTGTTAAATGAATAAAAAAATTAAAAATAAAGATTTATGCCCCCCGACGACCCTCTTGGAAGGCAAGGCCCCAATTTAGACCAATTATTAACTTTTGGACATTCCTCTATTAATTCACAACCTTGCCCTTATGCTAAAAAATGTACTTATGGAAATAAATGCAAGTGAGTTTACCTATTTTAAATAAAAAGTAAAATTATGAAATAAACAGATTTATAGCGAGATTTTTTGAAAGTCTCGAAAATTGAAAGTTCGGTATAACTTTGAATTAGGGTTGGGGCCCGGTTAGGTTTGAGAAATCAAATCGGGCCTCAAATTTTGGCTTGAAAAAAACTCGAACGTCGGCCCGGTTCGAAAAATCCAGCCCTACTCCATATTTCTAGTTAAACCACCTCAGTCTTTAATTCACATATTTTATTTTTACCCATACTAAAAAATATTGAAAATTTGTTATCAATCTTATTTCCGTTTTTGTACATTCTCTGGGAATTTTTCTGAATAATGCCTAATTGAAAAAATGTTTAAAAGTTTTTTTTTAAATTCCAATATTTGGTTTTTTTAATTTTTGAGAAATATTGGTGCTTAGAAATTTTTTAAATTTTGGGACATCTTTTTGAATATTATTATACCAAATCAATAATTTTATAAATTATAATTTTTAATCAAAAATTAAAAATCATTTTCAAAATAAAGATATTTTCATCCTGAACGACCCAATGGTGTACGTATTGGAGCTGTTGATAAATTAATTGGAAATAATTTAAATAAAAAACAATATTTAACAGCAAGTAAACTAAAATCAAAATAAAATTTAAAAATTAATTTTAAAAAATTAAAAGGGCCATCATTAGTAGCAGAAAGTGTTTCTTCTTCTTCCTCTCCTTATTTGTCCCCTCCTCCTTCACATACAAATGTTGGAAGAACTAAATCTTTAAATTTAACAGAAATGTCAAAATTTAATGGAGAAATTAATGTAATTTTTATTTATTTTTAGGAAAATTTAATCCCATAAAGTAAATTACCGTATTTACTCAATTAATTCCCCCTGCTACGGTTGAGTTTAAACAATAATCCCCCTCCCCCAATAAATTTCAAAACTCAATTAATTCCCCTCCCTCGATTAATTCCCCATGACACGGAGGGGTTGAAGAAATAATTCCCTAGGGGAATTTTCCTAATCACTATTTTGATCAACACAATTTGTTACTTTTTTTTATCTTTTTACAAATTTGGGTGATTTGGAAGGATTAAGGGGATAGAGAGCTCTATTACACAATCACAATCCGGTCCACAGGTTATAAAATGCAGAGCTGGTATTTATCGTGATAAAATAAGGTTCATAACACCGCAATCCCCACTCAATATCTTGGCTTTATCCGGCCTGCAAAATACATTTGAGGTAACAGTAAAATACTTACAAGGGAACATTCCAAACTATATGTCAAAATTTTGTATTTATTTTTGCACCATCATTTAGAGCATGGTCGCAAAACTATTGTCAATTTTTGGGTTTTATGGCCCCTAAATCGAAAGGTTATAGAGCTTCAAAGTGTGAAAATCTTGGAGTGGAAGAAAATAAGACTCCTTTACCCCTTTAAATTATTTATAATTAATTTTTTCAGTTAAATCCACTATCATTACAACAAAATACTTCAACAACAACAAAAGAAATTAATCAAAATCAAAATAATTTTAGTCACATGTTTGCCCCAAGTACAAGCATTTGGGGAAGTTGTGAATTTTCTTTAAGTCCAAAAACAACAACAAATTTATTTAATAAAGAAGAAATAAATAATAATAATTTAGAAAAGCAAAGACAACATTTACAATATCATTTAAGCCAATTATTTCCGGAAGCAACAGTTTTTGCAGTTATGGCTGCACATCCACAAGAAATGGATGCACAAATACTTTGCCAACGAATAATTGCTTTCCAAAAAGGATTTGAAAAAGAAATTGAAAAATAAAAAAATTTTTAACCTCCCAAAAATTACTCAAAAAATTCCTCATCCTTTCGAAAACATCTTTGGTAGAAACATTCACCTTCTACCAAATAACCAGTCATTATTTTTAGGTTATTTAAAAATCAAAAATTTGTGGAAACAACACAAATAACAAGCTTATCGTACAATACTTTATTAATTACTCTCCCTCAAATAATTACCCCACCTCTATTTTTAATTAATATTTTATTAATTAAATTTTACCTCCTCCAGAGAAAGGTTGAAACAATAATTACCCAGGTTAATTAATAAAGTATATTCGGTATATAAATAGTAGTGATTGGAATTTCATGCGGTACCATATTCCGTAGCATATTCCGTTGATCACTAATAAAATTTGCTGTAAAATATATAATATATTTCTGTGTATCTTTAATGGAATGCTCTTTTGGGGAAAAGTTTCTCAAATCTTGAAATTTGATTATTTATTTAAATTTTTGAAGGTAAACAAAATTTTTGAGCATTCTAAACGGAGAAAAAAATTTCTTCTAACATCTATTGTAATGCCTCATTTGAGGTTTAAAATTTTTAATAAAATAAAGTTTAAAGGTGTTTATTTTTTATTTAAAAAGTTTTTTATATAGTGAAGGTGATTTATAGTGAAATTAATTGTAAAAAATAAAAATAATTGAAAAAATAGAGGGGAAAATGTAAAAATGGAATTTAAAATAGGGATATATTTATTTAATATGTATATATTTATTTAGTTTTAAATTGTCTCGATGTTCTCTAGCAAGGTTATACCCCCTCCCCGAAGTCGGGGAATTAGCGACTTTTTTTTAGAAATTCCATGTCCCCCTTCCTTATCGGGGAACAACCCTTATTTTCTTGTTAATCGTCTCTCTCCGTCCATTCAATTGTAAAAATCGTGTTGAAATGTCAGCAAAAATTAATTTTACTATAAAAGGACTTATCAAAATAATTATCCGCCTTTATTCTCCTCCAATATCTACACAATTATTTGTTCCCAATTTCAATTATTTCTCTTCTTTCTATGCAACAATTCCAATTACTACAACAAGTAGTTACTACTGTGGCTTATAATATTCCAAGTAAATTAATTAAAAATTTTTTCTAATTTTTCCAAATTTTGTAGATGAATGTATTTGGAAGAATCTTTGGGTATTTTGGATTTTTATTTTTTATTCTTTGTTTATGGCTATTTTGCTCTTCATCTTTTTAATTACTTGTTGTTTTGTGGCCGTTAAAGATACTGAAGAAATTGGTGTACAAGACAAAAAGCTTAACAAACAAGTAAATATTGAGTGTCACATAGACCTTTTGAATGTAGGGGAAAAGGGGAATTTTGTAGATTTTTCTCAAAAAACACGTTGAAAGCTAAATAATAAACTCCCCTCAAGGCCGAACTTTGTTAATGTAAAAAGGAAAGTGAGGGGGGATTGGGAGTCAAAACCAGACCAAAATACCCATATGGACCAAACATCGGGACCGAATTTTAGCTAACATACTAGGGAGTGATGTGAGAGCGTCAGATATTTTTGTAAATTTGACAAACAAAAAATCTTTCCAAGGAAGAAATGAAAATTTTCGGCCAAGGAGACCTCCAGGTCGAATTATTTGATTTGAGAAGGGTTGTGATGTGGAAGATGGAGTCAAATCAGGCCATAAACACCCACCCCTTAAGTCTGGATCCGGACTAACATAATATGTAGATAAAGCGTTGCGGAAGTGAGCGTGGTTATAGGGGGTTTCTAGGGTACTTTGACAAACAAATAAATTTTCCCAATTAATTTTCCCATTTTTTCCAGAAAACACAAAAAACAATATCAGCAGCAACACCTCCACATATTAAACAACCAAAGAAGTTGCTACCATCCCCAAAGCCATCACCACCCCCAAAAAAAGAAAAATCTAAAAAGAAGGGAGGAAAAGAAGAAAAACAACAAAAATTGGAGACAGCTGCATATTTAACAGAAACATTTCATCCAATACCTTTAGAACCTAAAGGTCAAAGTCAGGAAGAATTTATTCCAGCATCTATTTTGGTTGAGAGAGAGACTACGGAAGAGATGACTCCAATGTGAGGGATTTTCTTTCAAATGATTTTTTTCTAAAAATTTTTAATTTTAAGCTGATGGAGGCAGGAAATGATGTCAATTATTTAAAGAAAATGTTTTTATGGAAGATGATTGTTAGATGATAACAAAATTGTGTGATACAAATAACTTCTATATTATTTTCTGTCATGTACGTAAAATGCTCCTTGAATAAATTATTCAAAAAACACTCGCCAAGCTAATATCCATTTTTTAAGCCTCGCCCTAAAACAAAGCAAATCCAAAATTTAACCCATCTACCACTTTTTCAAGGGTAGGAAGTAACTAGCACCTCAAACTTGGGTAATTAAACCGACGACTACATCAAAAGCAAAATATACAAGCAAAAAGAAAATATAAATTTCAGACGCTGCATAAAATAAGAAAAATTTTTGAGAAAAGTGTAAGAGTGTAAAATAAATATTACTCACTCACATTCATTATCATTTCTCTGTCTGACAGTGTTCTCTTTAACTCTTTTCTAGCAAGCGAAAAAATGCCCACACGCAGAAAAATAATGAAATCTCTACCCTGTGGTAAAGTTCAACATGGTCAGAAAGAGAGAATATTTAAATTTGTCACAAGACTAGCAGCACTAAAGCATTGTTTAAAAAACTCGAATTAAAAATTTGAATTGAACTAAAAATTTTTATTAGACAACATTTTGAGATTAATTAAAGATAAAAATAATGGGAAATAGAATAAATTGAAGATAAGGTTCCTAAAAACGCCATTACCCTTATAAAATGATTCATCTGATTTTGATCATTAAAGAGATACATTTAAATACACATTATAGCCTATTAATGTTTATTATTTTTAAGCCTTTTGTTTTTCTACACTGTTAAAAATGTGTAATAAATGTATAAAAAGTGACACATAAACGGCCACGTTAATGGCCGTTTATTTGTCACTGGGGGTTGTTAATTGTGAATAATACATAGTAGCTTAGTAATTTATCTAGAAGAAATGAAGATGCTTACATAAAAGCGTTTTATTTTTTTGTTCATTCAAACAAAAGTTTTGATCATTTACTTCTGGACAGAGTAACCTTTTTGCCGCTTTTTGCCTTTCAAGAGGAGCATTTGCCTCATTTCTGACCTCCTCTCCTTCCTCTTCAAATGCTCTATAGCTGCCCCTATTTTATTGAATAAGTTGCATTTTTTTTATTTCCAACGTCCTCAATTTGATTATATTTTTGCCTTTTTCTTCAATATCTCCTCATTTTTGTCCTTCTTTTGCAATGATTTTAACGCCTTAAAATTTCAAGAAAATCTTCTTTCATTTCCAAACATTACAGGATGAATATTCCTCTCTCCATTTTTATCGTTTCTGTCTTCTCAAGTGCCCTACTCGTTTACGCGTTGGAACATTGCGACGACCAACACGGCGGATATTGCATAGAAGATGGAAGCCGAGGTTGCTGTGTACATGGCCCGCCTTTATGTTGTAAAGACGGACATGGGGATTGTATTCCGCGTGTCGGCTTTAATTATAACAATACTAAATGTGAGAAATTGGAATGTCTGGAAGGAGAAGTTTGTATGCCATTGGGCGGTGAAAGAAAGGACAAATGTGTGCCAAAGGTTTTAAAGATATAAAATGATGCTTATTAACGAGCGCTAAACCAATTTATTATAAGACAATTCTTAAAGGGCAATGACCAACCTATTCTAAAATTAATTTTTATGGGTGGGCAAAAAAGGATTAAATATAAATATTTTCAAAAAAATGTTTGAGTACTGTCAGTAATTGAACGAAATACCTATATTTATTTTGGAAATGATGAGAGAAAGTTGGGGAGTAACAGAGACTTCGAGGGATTTGAGAGGATTAAGGGAAGATCTCTTTCTTTACGATAAAACTAAGCCAATATTACTCCAATTCTATTTAGGATGTTGAGGTTTGCAATAATTATTTAATCTTCGAGAAGACAGCAAAATGTGGAGACAATGGCTATCCAATTGGTTATGGCTTAAAATATTGTAATAAATTCTACCAATATTACGACTCTTTCAATGATTTTGGAAAAAATTTTGTTAAATGTGTTGGCCCATGTCTCGCGGAAAAAATGAGTGAAAATATTGAGGTTAGAAGAGTTTATTAGAAAACAAATGCCACTTCAAAATTAGAAGATTTCACTCATTTTGGCCCTAACCTAATAATAATGGGCTTGGATGGATTTATCATAGATTTTGAGGGTTGGATTAAGCTTCCCATGATATCTAACTTACTACAATTAATTGAATTTTTTAATCATACAATCGAACTTGATTTTTAGACACATTCTTGGGTCTAAAAAATTGGAAGGCATTGCTCAAGCAGCCTCCCCCCTCTGTCCATTTTAGAAAATGTATCTTAAGTATGTAGAGATTGCTCGAAAAATTGAAACAAATTACTAGAGAAATTGTTTTTTGGGAGAAAGTTGATTTGGGAATTTTTGTTTGAGATTCTTAGTACATATAGGATCACATTATTACTTAAAAAGGGAAAAATACATCTAATTTAAAAATATTTTTTTAAAGAAATACAAAGGGAATTGTAACTCCCTTCGTACCTTTGCTTTCGATTCCCATACTCCTTGCTACCTAAAATGTAATTTTACAAAATTCAATGTCTGGTTCAAGAATGCCGATGTTTTTGTGAAAGTTATTGACTTGAAAGACCTTTTCTCTTCTGAGACTTTCAAACAAATGAAAAACATAATTTTGGGGGAAATTATGGATGAAAAAACTTTTGAAGAATGTGCATTTTACTACAATTCTTTGGAGGAGACAAAGAAGGATTTAAATTTGGCAGAGCGTTGCTCACACGTTTTGGAGAAAAAATTCAATCAAATAACTGTTTAATTAATTGTTTTTTGATTATTAAAAAACAGTTTTTCTTATCATAAAGTAAATTATAAAAATTTATTTTTATTTTTTAAAAACAATTTTACATAGTGAAGGGCCAATTAAAAATATTATTATTTACAATTAAACGGCACAAAAATAAAAAAAACTGAAAAAATAGAGGGGAAAATGTAAAAATGGAATTTGAAAATGGGATGTTTATTTAATATATATTTTTATTGAAATTAAAAATAAAATAATAAAAAGCACATATAAATTATTTTGAAATAATAATTGCGACATTTTAGGAGACTTCTATTAAATTAAGCATAAAGTTTGTTCCCTCAATCGTTTTCCCAAAATTCAAAGAATTTCTCAACCTTGGTTATATGTAGACTGAGAATTTTTTATTAATGTTAAGAAAGTTCTTATTACCACCTAATATTTTTAACCTTTGCTACACTCCTTTAGAAAATTTTAGCAAAAGTTTAGTCACAGGGCAGGATTCGAACCTGCGACAAGCTCTGTTTTCAACCGGTTTTTTTGACATTGCTTGATTGGCCCCGTTTACATCTATCCCGATGTTGTATCAATCAGCTGCCAGGATGACTCTTTCACTTTCCTCTTATAGATCGTTTGGAACTTATTCTCCTATCGTTTAACCATAGCCTAAGCGTTTTAAATGATGCTAAATGAATCATAGACTTGGATTTAAAATAAAATAATAAATTAGGTATATGTGCTTTTTAAAAATATATAAAAAAGGCTCTGTTTTCAACCGGTTTATTTTTTTCAAAATTAAAATCGTTGTTGTTGTTGTTGTCTAATTGTAGAAGAAGAAGGCCCAGCAGATCTAAATTGTTTATCCATATAATTTTGTCTGTTTCCTCCCCTCTGATTATTCAAATAAAAATCATCATCATCCTCATCGAAATCATCATTTTCTTCTTCTTCCTCCTGATTTTGTTTAACATTTCCATAACCATTATTTAAAGTTTTCCCATTATTTAAATTATTACTTCTTTCTAAGGAAGAGGATTGTTTTGGAGAAAGACCGTAAGGAAGACTTGGTTGTTGGACAGCTATTGTGGGTACTCTATTTGAAGAAGAATGGGGAGGGGTATTGTTTGGGGAGTCTAGTAGAGTGTTTGGCTGTTGTTGTTGAAAACCTAATTGGGTGTCACCATAACCGCCAAAAGGAGAACCAAAATTGGCACCCTAAAATTAATTTTTTTAGTTTTTTACAAAAAAAGGTGGTTGTAGGTTACGAAAAAGCAAAAAATAAAGGTTCTACTTGACTTTATGAGTCTAATCGATGTTTATGAGTCCAATCGAACTTTATGAGTCCAATCAAGATTTATGAGTCCAAACAAAACTTTATGAGTCCATAGGAATTTTATGAGTTCACTCATATTTTATTAGATTTTATTAAATAATACATTTATTAAATAATACATTAAAAATGAATAGGATTATGTTAGACCTATGGAACATAGGCGAGGCGCTTGTGCAAAACCCCCCGTTTCGCGGGGGGTTTTGCGGCACGCGCCTCACGGGAGTCAACGGTCGCTGGGTTCTGGGTCGGCAACATAAACCTATCCCTTTTTTCATCACCAGCTTTGATTTGACGACCTACCCTTGTAGCTCACAATAATCCGATTGGACTCATAAGCTGTGATTGGAATCATAAACCGTAGTAGGGCCACAATTTTTACTTAGAATAATAAGACATGTCGGATTTATAAAATTTGTTTGGACTCATAAAGTTTTGTTTGGACTCATAAATTTTGATTGGACTCATAAAGTTTTGTTTGGACTCATAAATCTTGATTGGACTCATAAAGTTCGATTGGACTCATAAACTTCGATTGGACTCATAAAGTCAAGTAGAACCAAAATAAATACAAGGATGAACCCAGAAAAAAGAGATTTTGAAGGTAAAGAGTTCCTTTTCCCTCTTAAAAAGCTATTTTTCTGCCTAAAATTAATACCGACTGTAGGACTGAAAGGACGGTTTTGTAATCCATCCCAAAAAATTGGGTGGGACGTGATTCCGAGAGCTTGCCGCTCAAAAAACCGCTCAAAAATCGCACCCCTGACTTTTATTCCTATTTGCTACATAGACTTGGAGGAAACTTAACGGGCCTTGCATTGCTGAATATCTCCTATTTTTTTAATAAATAATCAGTCCTTATCAGAAGAAAAAATAAAAATGGAAAACGGGGAGAGTTGACCTAATAATTGACTTAATAATCCCGCTTTAAATAATTTTGCAATCTACCGAAAAATCAAAAATCTTTAACAAACCTGCATCATTTGTGCAGGATTCATTGCAGAAGCTACAGGCCCTCTATTAGCCATAGGTCCTTAAAATTAAATTTTAAACTTTAATTTAAAAATAATTAATTTCTTTACCTCTTTTAATACGCGGAGGTGAACGAACTGGGGGATGAGTAGCACGCCAATAAGATTCTAAATAATCGGCTAAATGTTCACAAGCATCTTCTAATTGATTTTCATCCAAAATAATATCAAAAGCTTCCTTTAAAAATTAAATTTTGATTTCCAGACCTCTCTATAATATACTCCCAATATTAGATACACCTCTATTTAAGGTACGTTTTGATAAGTTTTGGTTGGCTAATAGGTTGGGGGCTATTTAGGCGATACCCTCTATCTAAGCCACACCTTGCTATAAGACGGACCTCGCTATAATATACACTCATTATTGGATAACCTCTATTTAAGAGACGCTTTCAAAAAATTTGACTGACTAATAGATAGGAGAGCTGCTTTGAGAAAAACCCTCTATTTAAGCTACACCTCACTACAGGAACAAATTTTTCAGTCCCAAGGGTGTATCTTATACTGAGCTTCAACCGATAATAAAAATTTATTTACTGGAGGGCATTGCGCCAACTTTTCTGCAGCAACCATTTGAACATTCATATTCCTAGTTTGACTCTTCCCTCTCGTCTTTATTAGTCTTTGCAAAACTTTTGGAGAACTTATTTTAATAAATACATGAATGGGGGATAATGAAGTTTTTGCTAATTGACTTGGATGATTTATTGTATCACAATCAAGAACAACTAATTGCATTGAACGGGAAAATTCAAAAATTCTTTCAATCTCTGCTTGGATTTCAACTAAAATTTAATTGAAATTTCATTAAGAATAGAGATAAGAATAGAGGTACCCCAAATATTAGCTACACCTCAATTTATACCTCTATTTAAGCGATGTCTTTTAAACATTTGGTTGAATAGGGTGGGGAAGTTCTCTAAATTATACACTCTATTTAAGACACACCCCATTATAAGCGGACTTTAGTACATTATATCCCCAATACTAGATACACCTCTATTTAAGAGACGTTTTTTAAAATTTGGGCGAATATAGAATGGGAGAGCTGACTAAACGATACACTCTATTTAAGGTACAACTCATTATCAAAGATAAATTTTCCATCCCCAAGGGTATTATATAAATGAGATTTGATTGTATATAAGAAAATTCATAATAAATCTCAAAAAAAATAATTTTCAATTTACCTAAAGAATTACTTGACCGAGAATTTGCCCTTTCCATTAAAGCCCGTTTTGTTGGATTATTGAGCAATGAACGTTTAGCTAAGGAAATATCAACAGTCACCCTTGTAATAATTATTCTTCCTTCAAATCTGTGTTTTAAATAATCAAAAACTGCTTTTTGCATCTTTAAATTAATCAAAATTATAAAAGAAAATTGATTTTTGTATTACCATATCGGTAACTTCATAGCCTTTAAGTGAAGGACCAACAAGCACTACAGGCCTCATTGTAGGCACAACATCATAGGGAGGGATATTTTCTTGCTAAAAATAAAGAGAGGAATTAAAATAATTTTTTAAGTTGTTTATTATCCCGAATCCTTTCCTAAAAAACGGTGAAGGACGTGTCAAACTAAAAATTCTTAGACTTTACGATAGACTTCTGACGTTAAGAGGAATTCTGTTATATTTTTCGGAATTCTGTTATATTCTAAGTGTATGTATAAAAGAGGGATGGGCTGGATTAGGAAATATCTCGAGTCTGGCTTCGGGTAACCCGACCCATCCCTCGTACAGTCTTATCCCTGATATGAGTAAAAATTGAATGAGTATTGGTGAGAAGAGGAGAATCAATTTAAAGATAAATGTAATTGCTGTAATTCTCCCCTCCAGCAAGGGATTGAAATACTCGGAATAATTAATATAGTAACTAATCGGCCTGACCCCCAAATGGACAATAAGACCGGCCTCCATCTTATTGCTAGCCCCCCTAAAATATTTTTTTAATTTATGGAGTCAAAAGTTTAAATCGAAAGACAAGACAAAAGTCTGTCTGAAACAACTCTGAACAGAAGATTTTATAAGGGAATTAGTTGGGAAATTTAAAAAGCTGAATTTACATATTTAAATTTCAAAATCAAAACCTTTTTAAAAATTAATTTTTTCTTTTCTTTTTGTACAGGCGGAGTAGCAGTCATTTGATTTTCATTTAACCGATTAGTTGTTGCCCCGCTTCTATGAGAATCTGCACCTCCTTCTTCTTCCCCGTCGGCAGGTGTTGGAGGGGTTGAACCTCTCGATCCCCCAGCAATCCCTCTGGGCGTTGTTGGGGGCATCATTCTGTTTAAAGCACCCAAATTGGTTGTGGAAGTTGACTGGCGACTTTAAAAGTTTAAAAATTTTTTTTCTTAATTTATCCAAATAATTACAATTTAACTCCTTTTCCTGTTTGCTGTGATTGACGTACAGATTCTAATTTAGCTGGGGAGGGGATGAAACCTTTAAAAAGGGAATTTAGAAAATATTTAATTAAAATCGGGTCTAGGTTATAGATACACCTCTAGAGCTGAAAAACTAGTCTCCTATAATGAGCTGTATGTTAAATAGGGGATATTGCTTAGACAGATTCCCCATCTTTATTATTGACATTTTTATTTTATCACATTAGTGTACAAATTTGTACCTGTGATTGTCTTATAAATAAACATTCAGTAGCCTTTTAAAAAGCGTCTCTTAATTAGAGGTTATCCAGTACTGGAAGTATCTTATAGAGAGTTCCGTCTTATGAGCTGTACGTTAAATAGAGGGTGTCGCTTAGGCAGCTCTTCCACCTAGTAGCCAAACAAATTTTTGTATTGGGTGTTAGAGACCCTAATTAGAGGTGTATCTTGTATTGGGTGTATCTTATAGTAAGGTCAGTCTCTGTAATAATTTACCTAATTCAGCTCCTTCTTTAACCAGTCTACCAATCCACCAGTCATTATTATATTTTTCTTTAATATGTAAAAAATCTTTGGCCTTAAAAGAAATAGCACATCCATGTACAGGTGCATCATCATCAATAGTTCCATCAAAGTCGATATTTGTTTGGACAGCAAAAAGTACAGGATTATACTGTTTAATTAAATAATTCTCATTTTATTCATTTCACATTTTCAAAAATTAATTTTAAAATCAACCTTATCTAATTATTTCTTTCAAACTTTCGTTGGTGGGGTGATTAATTAAGAGTGGTGACTATTCAGGTTTTAGAACTTAATTATTGCTTTAAGGTATAATTATTGCTTCAATACAGAGTGGGTAATTAATCTAAAGGTGTAGTTATTCAAGGAAGAGTAATTAATCGAGGAGATATAATAATCATTGAATAGAAAGCGGTCGAACCCACCCCAGAGGAAATAAAAAATTGTATAGGTTCGATCCTTAACTGTCCGAAACAAGGTTTGTTTATCGCCCTCCAACCAACGAACGAAGTTTTAATTTTTGTTTTATCTGGGGGTTCCTTTCAGACTTTCTACTTTTTATTCCAATTCTCAAGAGAAGATAAATACGTATTATCGAATTACGGTATCGAATCTCAAGGTGATCTTCAAGTATAAAGGTTAAAATGTTAAATTGACATTCAATTAAAAATCCGGTAAAATGGCCCCGAATCGGGGGGCGAGAGTAAAAGACAATTCCCAAAAAACGCATTGCGCCTAGCCCTGATCCCGCTCCAGTGACATTCAATTGGGGTTTTTTTTAATTTAAATTTTCTTTCAAAACCTTTGCATTTTCAAGTTGCTGTGCCGCCTGCTTTTCAGCATTACTTTTAATAGCTTCACGATTTCTTTGTTCCAAATCAAAATCATTATCGTGATGGTGAGAGAAATTAGAATCTCCACTAGCTCTTCTTAAATGTTCTGTCCTGTCTTTATTTCCCAGTTTGGCTGCAACTCCGCCACGCATTTACTAAAGCCTTTTTTAAAGGCAATAGTGGATTTTATAGGTAATTATAAGAAGGATTAATTAATTAATTTAGAATTCGAAGAAAATATCTAATATCTATAAAAAGAAAAGATATAAATTTTTTCACATATTACCTTCCCTCCCCTATTTAGAAATCCAAAATTAATTGTTCCTTTCTCCTCCCTATTAATTACTTAAAGTAAGAACTCGATAGATACACACTTGGGACTATAAAATAATACCGTAGAGTTGTGTAATAAATTGGAGGTATCTCTTAGATTGGAGGTATCTTGGAAGTATCTCTCTTAGAGACCGAAAGTTAAAAGAAAGTATCTTGAATAGAGGGGTGCCTTATTTACTCAAATAATTACCCCCTCCAGAAAGAGATGGAAATGATAATTACTCAGGATAATTATTCTTACAATATCTAATTTTTGGGGATATCCTAAGGTGAGGTTCGACCCTACAAGAGAAAATAGGGAGGAAATAATAAGGAAAATAAGTGATTCATTAAAAGGGGAGATTAATCTGAATCTAAAATAAGTGAAGTAAAAAGTACTTAAAATTTAAGGAAAAATTTTTTTCAATAAAATAAAAATTATATAAAAAATATTTTTAAACAAAAATATGCCTATAAAGCTTTTAGTTTCTTTTTTTATCCAAAACATTGGAAAAGACAGATGCGGTAAAATTGAAGAAGAGTAATAGGAAGAAAATTCACCCAAGCGGAGAGAGCCAAGGGCTAACGGTCTTTTTTTCTATGAAGGAATTTTTACTTGCAGGGTCGAGATAGAAAAAAAGAAATTTTTATGTCCGTTTGTCCATTATTGCTTCAATTCCTTTTATTTTTCATGCAAGTAGAGAAAAGAAAAAAGCAAAATTTTAAAGCCTTAACACAAAAAAGCCATCTCAAATCGATTGGAAAGAAGAAAATGTGAGGGTGTTTTTAGAATTTGGCCAAAGCTTGGCCAAGAAAACAAAAAAGAATGTCGAGAGTATTGAGAGAAAGAGAGAAAGGAAAATAAATGAAAAGAGAGGGAAGGGAGGGATGGGGGAAAGAAGGTAGGGGAAAGGGGGAGCGCATTTCATGGATGTATTTGGAAGGGAATAGGTACATAAATATTCCCTCCCGGGTATTTGCCATAAGAGAGCATCTAATGCTTAAGTCTGTTGCTTTTACTTTTTTTTGTTACTTTTTAAGAAAAAATGAGTATAAAATAAATATATTAATCTTTTTTCCTTTTTAAATGTCTGGTAAAATGGAGATTTTAAAAAATGGAGTTTAGTTAAATAATTGAGAAATATATTAACTAATAATAAATTGAAAAGTTAGAAAATTACAAAGAATTAATATGGTCTACAAAAATTGTAAGGAAGAAGGGGCTCTAGCTGGTATACAACGTACTATATTCTAAAATAATTAGACCGAGTTATTATTATTTCAACCTCCGCTAGAGGGGATAATTAATAGAGATGAGGTATTTGAGAGAAATTTTTCAGCAATTAAAGGGGGAGAGGGGGGGTTAATTATCTCAGAGAGAGGAAGATTTTTCAGTATTACGGTACAAGACTTACGGTACAAAGGGGGAAATATTTAATGTTTAATATTTAATGATATAGAGGGCTCCGGTAGCTTAGTTGGTAAAGAGACTGTACATGGCTAGCGAAGGATCGACGCCTGTCCGAGGTTAGGCTTTTACCTCTTTCTTATTAGAAAATATCCAAAAGTTCTGAAAGTTTTAGACTTTATAGTTTACCTATCTAAATATTTTTAACTATTTATTAAAGTTTCTGTAATATTTTTTGTTAGCTTATTTTATAATAAATTTTTTAAATTTTTTGGAAAAAAAGGACTACAAAATGGAAAATTAAAATTGTAAAAAAATTTTAATTTTTGTTTTAAAAATTAAAATTTTAAAAGAATAATCCAAACAAAATTTACTTTTAAATACTCATTTTCCTTTAAAATATCTGTCACTTTTGTTTGTCTATTAATCTGTCACTAAATATTCAAACCTTTGTCTGGTTTTTGGAATTTAAAGAATTTAAGGGATAAAAGAGAATAAACCAAAATATTGCCATTTAATTCACAACAGTTGGGGAAAATATTTTTTAAAAATTGTTTGAGGGAAGGTACATCCCGAAAACACGTGAGTAAAAGATTGATGAGTAAATGGATGAATATATTTTAAAAGAATAATTTTTAAAATCATATTAGGTATGTTTGGAAGTCCTAAACATGTTGGTCCTATTCACAAAATGGGGGCGAATATAACGCAAAAATTTATAGACAAAAAAGAGGTATGGGTATTTAAAAACACGAAAATTTTTAATAAACAACAACATAATTCATCGTCACAAGCTTGGGTAAAATTAAAATCAGAATAGAATCGCCAACAATGGAATTAAGCTACCCATTTCCTCTACTCATTAGTGATGTTCGGGTTTTCCAACCGAACTCCCGTTTCCCGGGTTTTTTCTTCTCCCAAGTATCACTACTACTCACGCCTCCCTGAATAACCTCTGAAAGAGTTAGGAACCTGGGATGGCTCTCCATCTCCCGCTTTTTAGAGTCTCTGTGTTTAGAATCTTCCCACTTAACTTCCCTCCTATTTATTGCCATAATATCATCAAGTTTTTCGAAAGCTTTCAAAAAATTGAGCAGATAATAAAAAATGAGAAAAAAGAGAGGGGTAGAAATACGAAAATACCTCTTAAAAGGTACAAAATACCCTAATTTAAGTATTAAAAAAATTAAAAAATTTCTGATCGTTTTTTAAAATTTAATGTTTATATAAATAATCATTATCCGATTCGCGTGTTGTCACCAACTTAAAGGCGAGAAAAGCTTTAAGTAAGCATTAAATATACAATCAGTCTTTCTTTCCGGTGCTTCCCTTCAACCCCTCCTTCCGGGAAAAAAGAGCAGCCTTTTCATTTTTTCTTTGAATCTTATCTATTTTCTTTTTTTATATTTTTTTAGTTGTTTTATCCGAAATGCGAGAAGCTGGAAAGAAAAAAAGCGCATAGAATCAATTGCCGTTAGAGTGAGAGGGGTTAACCCTTTCCAAAGGCTTGTTGTCACGCTTAATGTTAGATGCCATTACATATTCGTCTTTTTTCAGTCTTTTATACATTTGTTCTTTTTCTGGAAAAGAAGGGACAAGATAAAGCTCAGATTTTTTGGATCAAGATAAAAATAACGTTAGAAAATACAGGAAGAACTGAGATACACCCTTGGGGTTAAAAATTTTTATCTTATAATGAGGTGTATCTTAAATAGAGGGTAACGCTTAGGCGGACTTCCCGAAGACAGTTAGAAGTGTTGGAAATTGGAAGAGTCGGAACTCGGAACTAGCCTAAAAAGAAATTTTGTGATAACGGAGAAAATCGGAAGGTGGTAGCAATCCCAGCCAGCTTTAAAAAACGATCTTAAAGCTTATTGAATTTTGCTTTCCGGTGCTTCCTTTCAACTCAAGATTTCCCCTCTCCCATTTTGTGGCCCAAAAGTAAAAAATTTATTTTTAAATTACTTCTTTATGGAAGGCAGTTAAAAAAAGTTTAACAGAAAAATATATTGTTATTCTGAAAATTAATTAGCAAGAAGAATGAAGTGAGTTAAATTGGTATTGACTGACAGGTTAATGCAGTAAATAGTAAAAAAGCTTATACCAAGGAAATTTTATTTCTTAAGGGGTTGAGAATTAAATAATAAAGAAGGTGGATGAATTTTATAATAAAAATAATACAGGATGACCTGTATTTCAAACAATATCATGAAGAATTTCGAACGATATCTCGAAGATTTTCGAACGATAAGGGATAATGTAACTAATTTTAACAATGAGATTGGCGATGAAATGGGCGTAAAATTGTATATTGAAGTCGGTTGAGCGCGCATTGATTGATCGTCGATAATTTTTTGGAAATCAAAGTTTGTTTCTGATAATTTATCGGAGGATTTACCTCATATTCTAATTTGAGCATTTATTTTTTTAAAGCTGCTACCCTGAATCGGCCACTCAAAATTTTCACATTTCCCATTTTGCTTTAAATTTTAAAAAAATTTTCAGTTATTTTTTAATTTTCGACATAATTTATTTTCAATTATGAGCTCTGAAATTTCAATGAAGGATCTTTCTGTGCAAGACATTCACTTAGAAAATGCTTTTGTCTATGCAATAGATACAAATCTTAAAGTAAGATTAATTTTTATGGTAAGTTAGGTTTGTGGTACCCCCTTTTTTAATAATGTAAATAATGGTCAGACTCCCTTAATGTTTTCCTTTTCCCTAAAATTCTGTCTTATGCAAAAAAACTTGATCCTTTTTGATCGATGGTATGCCGAACTCAAAAAGAGGGAATTTAGGAAAATAAGGAAAAAAGGGGTAACACAAACTTAACTATTACCATTTCTTTTATTTTAATTTAAAAATTTTTTCAAAGGTTTTTGCCGAAGCAATAAACGTTCTTTCAAAAATTAGCGATCAAATACTTTTACAACCTCTAGCTGACAGCCTTATTTTAACTGCATATAATTCAACAAAATCAGCTTTTGCCAAAATTGTTTTGTCTTCAAATTTCTTTTCCCGTTTCGAAACCCCTTCAAATAATGAACAAAATTTAAACGGGGAAGTTTATTGTCGAATATCAACAAGAAGTGCTTTGCATATTTTTAAAGGTAATCGTGAAGAATTGGGGATACACTTTTTAAATTATTGAGATCGGAATTTTTGTAAAGCCTGAACCTGTTCCTGTACTCGGATTGATTTATTGACTTGAACTTGATTTTGGGCGTGTAGTTCAGGAAAAACTCAGGAAGGTCAAAAAATGGCTGGACCTCAACTTTGGGTACAGGAAAAACCCAGGCCAGGGTCTAGTATTACCCATTCAAGAATTTTGTAAAAATCAAGTATTTTATAAAAATCACAGATAAAATGTCATATCTGGCAAAATCTGATATTAGCTTCGTGATGAGCATAGTCGATTATCTATATAAAATGATTTTTAGAAAAAAGCAAATTTTAAAATTGTATCCCCAGTTCCTCACACTTACCTTTTTAAAGATATCGGGACTAAAAATGTCCATTTACCTTCTTTTGAAAATTGTCAATTAGAATTGGACCCTTCTGCTGATTTTGCAATTATCCACATGGAACAAGAAAATACCCAAATTCGAAAAGTTTACGTGTTGCCAATGAGAGAACACACAACAATTTGTGACAACGTCTTTACAGAAAAACAAAGATTGAAAAATAAAATGGCAACGCAGGCAAAAGTTTTGTTAAATCTTTTTGGGGGATTTGATTGTAAAGAGGTTTTTTTTGAAGCGAGTAGAATATTTTGTTAAAATTAATTTTTAGGTCAGACTTGATGCTTCTGAAAATAAATTTACAGCACATCGCTATATTGTTCGAGAAGATCTCAGCAGAGTGTAAGTAGAGGAATAATGGTACCTTTCTGTTATCTCTCCATATTTTTCTTTTTCTTGTCTTCATTTTCGTCTCTGAAGTTACAAATAAGCCAACAAGCTTGGAACATGTTGGGGTAATTGTGAAGCGTACAGACCCCATTCTTTCCTCCCCAATTTTCCCCACATATTTTATAAAATATGTGGGGAAAAAAAAGCTTCACAATTACTCATGTTGGAATGCCAAAGTGTTGAAATTAGGCCTGTGTCCCGGATTTTACCCCCTACCCCCTGGATTCGGGCCTGGTTGAAAAGCTAACAATAAGCCCCTTAAAACCGTCGAAATGTTCCTTGTCCTCTACCATTATCTGCTCATAACTTTTGTAATTTTTGAGGGCGGGTGACAAAGAGAAGATAATTGAAAAAGTGTGGATAGTAACGGAAATGGGCCTAAATATTTTTTAAAATTTTATTTAAAAAATTTTTTAGACGAAAAACTGATGTCACCATACCTACTGAACATTTTGAAAAATTTTATATTCATGTAGATACAAGAATTGTTATAAGCTTGAGAGAACTTCGATCAATTCTTCATTTTGGCAATATTTGCGGATTTACACTTAATTTGCATTTTGACAGACCTGGACGGCCAATGATTGTGGCAATTGATGAAAATATGGATTTAACTGCAGAATTTGTATTGGCTACAATGGATGATTTTGATGCTCCACCCCAAACCCAACATACCTCATCTCAACAGAATCAGGTTCTTACTTTAAATTATAGTCTAGTCTCTAGAGACACCATTTTGGTTGATTACTAGTTTGGGGGTAGGTTTGGCGGATCCTGGGAAATCTTCGGATATGCGGATCTGCTAATTTCTTTATTTTCTGACCGGATCTGTCAACGGAGAAAAATTTTATATACATGTAGAAACAAGACCCCCTGGCTACGGGTTATTTCCAAAGTCTCAATTTTGGCCAAAAAGGTGGTCCTACTAATATTTAATCAAAAAATAACTAAAATTTTAATTGAAAATTTCCCTACAACTTTTTTTTATTTTTTAGTTAAGCTCAACACAATCCACTTCAAATCAACAACAAGAATCTCAAACTCCAAATATTCAAAAATTGGGAATTGCAAAACGTTTAAATTTAAACCCTAGACAGAAAGAAAATCAAATGCCTCAACATTGTGCTTCGTTTTCTTGAATTTTAAATTATTTATTTTAATAAATTTAAAAATTATCTGATTATTTCTTCAATTTATTTAAAAAATTAATTTAAATATTTTTTTCTATTTTTAATTGTTTAGAATTTATTTAATAATTTTTTTAAAAAAAGATGACCTCAGAAAAAAGAAATATTTTGACTGTGGAAGAGGTTTTTAAATTTATTTTTAGCTAAATAAATTCAAATTTTGTCTAGTTACCAATTTATGCAACGAAGGTGGCAGACTCTCAGGACGCTTATTCAACTGAACGTAAACCTGTTTTTGGTGAAGAATATTTTCGACAACTCCGAGTTGCTACAAATAACTTTTTTGGAATTCCTGAGGTTTCTAAGAAAATATTTTTTTAAATTAAATTTGAAATTTTAGTTGAATCTGAGTAAAGTTACAGAGACTTTGGAACCAGTAAAGGATGTAGCTAGTGGTAAATAATTCAGTGGAATCTCTCTAGAACGGCACTAATAGGGGCCATGTTTAATCGGGGTCATGCTAAACCAGTCCGAACACAGCCATCTGGGTCGATTCGGATTAACCTGACTAGTCGGGAGGGGGCGTCGTTAATGAGAGATTCCAAAGTGCATATATAATTGGTCTAAAAAATGATAAGATTTATTGTTTTTCAGCTACTGAAGATTTCATTCGAAAAGAAAATACTGAATTATTTCCAAAATTGGCAGCTATATCATGGGGTGGGCTGGGGGGATATCTTTATGGAAGAAGGAAAGGATTTATTAAAAAATATTTTTCTACCTCTGTTGGACTACTTGTAATGACTGCTTTTTGTTATCCAAATGAAACAATTAGAGTTGTTAGAACGGGTTTTGAACATTCAAAGATGTCTTGGGAGGAGTTTAAAAAATGTAAGTTTTTTTTAATTTCTAACGAAGTACTGTACGTTCGACATTTACGGGCTAAGGATAAGATGGGAAAGGTGAATGGAATTGTTTCATATTTTATGGCTTGTTTTTTGACATTAGGACCGGTATCCGCTAATGTCGGGCCGTTTTTGCTGCCTTTTTTCAGTTTAAAATTTTTTTAATATTTTATAGCACCTGATCCAGATGACAAATAAATTTCACGATTTCAATTGAATTCGAATAGATAATCTAAAAATAATTTTTCATTTAAATTTTTGGCTGTTCAATAAATTTTTATTAAATTGTTGTTGAATTTTGCTTTAAAAAAGTATTATCTTTATGAATATACTTGATATTGTTTTGATTAATTTAAGTGGTTTTTTTCATAATTTAAAATTTATTTTAGTTCAATACATTTTTTGCTTCCTTTTTTTTAAAAATCCAAAAATTTTAGAAGATATTCTTTTTTTCAATCAAACTCAATAAAAGAAACCATTTAAAGAATGGCTGATCGTTCAAGAATTACAGCTTCAAGGCCTGCATATTTACCTGATAATTGGGACAATGATGTAGAAATGAGTGGATTAATGTCTTATTTAAAGGTTTTTAATTTTTATATTTTTTAGTAATTTTAACATTTTAGGCGAGATATGTAAACCCTACTAATTATGGTATGTTTTTAGATTTTTTAAATGGTGGAATTAAGTTTAAATGTCAGGGTTGCGGCCCGGTCCGAAAGAATCGTGTCGGGCATTGAATTTTGAACCGAAAAAGACTCGGTCGGGCCGGCCCGAAAAACTGACTCGAAAACCACCAACCCTAGTAAGGTGCATCCTAGATTAAATTTTTGAGAATCTTGTTTTGATTAAAGTGTTTATTGGATAGCAAATTTAATTATAACTTTTTCCGTAAAACTGGTCCTAGGATACTCCAAAGAAATTCGAAACAGAAAAATTTTTTAAATTAAGACCGTGTTGTTTCTTTTTGGAAATCTACAATTCTTGACTATTGTCGTCATCAGAAAAGATGTGTTTTTACTCAAGAAGAGCTCAAAATAAAATTTAAACGCGGGTCACAATTACCAAGTCCGTTACCTACAGTTATATCAGAATTAAAAAGGTTTTTTTAATTTAAAATAAATTCTAAAAAAATATTTTTTGAAGTGAGGGACTTGTTGTGGAGAGGACAGATTTTGAGAAGGACAATCAAAGTTGGTTGCAATGGGGAGCAAATTTAATTAGTCCAAGTTCTTGGTTACAAGGATTAGTTGGATCGACTTCAAACAATCCAAATACTTCACAATTAATTCACATTACTGCCTTGAAGGTTTGTTTTTTAGTTGGGTCTTACTTTTCTATAACCTTTGGTTTTGAAAAAAATATTTTAATCTAGTACATCCATTATTTGAGAGTATCGCTTAGGAAGCTTCCTTTGCCCAGTAGTCAAACAAATTTTTGAAGAACGGATCTTAACTATGTTTATTGTGTGTATAATTGTTGAATTTAGAAGGTCATAGGCGAAAAAATTTCACTTTTTCAATCTTCCTCCCATTTTTTCCCCGTTTCCCTCATTTCTGGAGGTGCTTTAGCCCTGTCAGCCCTCTCCCCGCTGGATACGCCTTTGAAAGAGATTCTAATTATTAAAAAAATATTTCAAGGAATTAGCAAAAGAATTGTTACGTTATTATCGAAACAATTATGAAATGGTTGATTGTCCTGATATTGTTGGATATAACGAATTGCAAGAAAATGCTTCACATATAATTGACAGAGATTGTTTTGAACTTGTAATTATTGAATTGGTTAATATGGGAGAAGTTAGTGTTGGAAGTTCTAAAGATGGAGATAAAGTTTTGAAATTTAAGGTGAGAGTTGATAATATATTTCTACATCATAGCTAATTGAATACCGAAGTAAATTTAATTTAGGCATATTAGGAGCACTGGTAAATGACTTTCTAATAGTATTTTTCTGTTCGTAAACCCGGTCCCATAGTCAGAGTTTTTAGAAGCAAAAAGATATTTTTACTAAATAAATATGTTTTATGTAGGATCAAAGGACAAAAGGCCCAGCTCGATTTTCTGAAAATGATGCTGCAATGCACGATTTAAAACAAACAATGGCTCGACTTGATACTGCCATAATGAAATCTGAAAAACGTGAACAAATGTAAATTTTATATTTTTTTAATTTAATTTTTATCAATTTTTGAATTTAGGTTAAAATTAGAAGCAAAAGCAGCAATGAACAGGGGAGACAAAAAGGGAGCATTAAATATTATGAAAAAAGTGGCTTTAATACGAAAAGAAGTTCAAGATAAGGAAATACAATATCAACGTCTTCACAGCGTTTTTCAACAATTGACTGACTCAAAACATAAAAAAGATATGATTGATGTTTTGAAAACTTGTTCTGTAACTGTTAAGGAAACATTAAATCGTCATGGTTTAACTCCAGAAAAGGTTTTGATTTTATAGTGAATACTTTAGTTAGCTCGTAGCCATGGGTAAGAGGAAGGAAATTTTTGAGTCTTTAGCTCTGGAAATCTGAAATTTAATATTATATTATCAAAATTGATTCCCCGCTCTTCGAATTCCTTTCTACGAATTCCTTTCTAGTGCCTGACTCTAGGGTTTTTTCGGGGGATCATTTTCGGAAGTTTATTGCCAAACTTTTGTCTTTTCGTCGCCTAAAGTCGGAAACTTCTGAATTTCAAAAAAATACTCAAAGTCCTTAATTCTATATGGGAATGACAAAATAAAAATAAGAGATTTCACTCATCGTGAGCGGCGTCCCTTGTCAAATTATTAATTATTTTAATTTGAATTTATTAAAGGTTGACACAACAATGGACGATCTTTTGGAAACAATGCAAGATTATAGAGATATGAACGAAGCATTACATGATGGACTTCGTTCTATGTCATCAGTTGACGTTCCTGATGAAGAATTGGAAAGTGAATTAAATGAATTAATACGGGAAGATGAGGCTGCCAGGGTTAAAGAAGTGTCACCGCCACTGATTCTTCCACGCCCAGTTCCAGTAGAAAATGGAAATAGGGTTCGTGTTGGTAAGCGAGTTTTGGATCTTTCTGATTTGCCAGAAGTTCCATCTGGAGGGCCTTCGACTTCTTCAGCAAATAGAAATGGAAAAGATGATTCACTTGAGGAGCGTTGGAAACGACTTCGAATGCATGCAACTTAAAAAATAAGCAGAATAAAAAATAAAGTAATGAAAAAAAGGGGAGGGGATATCTTTCGGAAAATAAAAAAAAATTTTGATTGATTCTGCCGTAGCGCAACTTTTTTTTAAATATTAATTCTTTTTTTATTATTTAACTTTTTTCCCAGAAATACATTTTTTGGAGAATTCTTTCAATTAAATAAACAATTTAATTTTTATCTATTTGTTTTGAAACATTTATATATTTTTTGATTGAACATTTTGTTATTTATTGTTAGATTTAAAGGAAACTTTTTTGTTTGAGAAAGGGTCTAAATGGTCAAAGATAGGCTGATTGAATTTCAGGTTATATTTGTTAAATACAGTTAGGCCTCACTAAAAGATACCTCCAAAACTAGATTTAAGGTTTTAGAAATTTGTTAGCCTACTGGGTGGGTGAGTTGCACAAGCAATCCGCTAATTTAAGGTATACCCTATTTTGAGGTACAACTTTTTCAGACCCCAAGGATTGTATCCTAGAATGAGGTTTGGCTGTATATCTTCAAATTCTTAATATAAAAAATCTTAAAATTAAAGCGTATGGCTGGAATGAGCAGAAACATTGCCAACAAAAATCATCTTCCAACAAATTCTTTAAATAATTCTGTTCATCTTGAAAGCAATTCTATTCACAACGATGAAACAATTTCTTTTTTAAATTTAAATTCTGAAGATGATATTAATTCGGTTTGTTAAAAAAATTTTTTTTTTGATTAATTTGTCGAAAACAATGTGTTTAGTTTCTAGAATTGACTCAAGATATAAGAAGGAAAATGAAGGAAATGAGTGAATGTCTGAAAGGAATTAGAGAATTACATTGTCGGATATTAAATGAACCTGGTGCTCATTCAAGTAAATTTTTTGTTTTTGAAATAATTTTTAATTTTCGATTCCCTCTCCCCCTCCTATTCCTCCCATTTCCCTATTTTTAAATTTTCTTTTTCCTCTTCAAAAATTACAATCAGCAGTAGATTTTGTTGGATGCGGGAATCCCACAACAATTATTTTAGAAAGCTCTTTTCTAATTATTTCGGAAGCCAACTTTCTAATATCTTCTTAAAATACATCCGGTTCCCTCCATCAAATTCCCGGCTTTGTATTAGGTGGGGACAAAATTACTTGCCGTTTTTTCTCCTCTCCACATAAAAAACGACGAGTAATTATGCCGTAATTATGTAATTAATCCTTAGCCACCCTTTATAAAAACTAATAAAAAAGGGGAATAAAAAATGGGGGATAATGCGATAGTGCCAAAAATTTTTAGTATGTAATTTCAAAAAATTTCCTAAATCTTTTTCATTTTTTGGATTAATAAATTTTAAAATTTATATTTTAGCGTTAACAACAGAATTTAATATCAAAGTTGAAAATTTTGTAATTTTATCTCGAGATGTTTGGAATATTGTGAAAAGTATTTTTTAAAGAAAGGGAAAATTTTAAAAATTTTAAAATTGAAGGAATGCAAGCAGAAAATGATAAATTAAGTTCTTCAAATAAAATAACGATGGCTAATTTAATGATTAGAAGGAATCAAGTAAAATTTATTTTTTGATTTTTTTTAAATAATTTCTTTAGGAGATGACTTTACGTCAAGGAATATTAAAATTAACTGGGGAATTTCATAAAGAACAAATGGACTATAAAGAAAAGTGTAGATCGAGAATCAAAAATTATTTAAAAATTTGTAAGTCTAAAAGAGAGTAGCACCTGTCGCCCGAAACCCCGACCACCGATGAATTTTTAGGCAGAAACCCCGACCCGAACCTCGAAGGCTCTACCCCAACAAACTCCGATCCCTGACGATCCCGCCCGAAGGCTCGGAGTGCTACCCTAGTTTAAAGGCCAATTTTTTTGAAAATTTTATTAAATTTTTTTTAAAAGCTGGTCTACATATGACAGAAGAAGAAATGGACGAGTCTATTGAAGGAGGAAATTTATTTAATACAGTTTCTATAATGACAGCAGAAAAAGATAAAAAGCTTTTGTTTGAGGATGTTAAATCTCGCCATGAAGATATTATCAAATTGGAAGGGTCGATTAGAGAATTACATGAAATGTTTCAAGGTTTTTATTTTTTTAGAAATAATTTTGGTTACAAAAGGGGTTCGTTATAGCGTGTACATACGACTGACTAGATATACCTCTGTTTAAGGGACACGCCCAAGAGGCGCGAAGCCATAGCTAGCTGGAGAATTTCTGGTCCTTGTCAATTTTGGTACGTACCAATTGCTTTAGATCAATGAGAGGAATCGTTTAATACTAGATCTGATAAGATTCGGAAATCTTGGAGCAGGTTATGGCTTTGCGCCTACTTGTCTGCACGCCTACTTGTTACTCTATTTTTGATAATTTTTTGAATTGATATGGGATGCTTAGCAATACCCACAGTCTAATTGTAAGGTAACGTCTTCATCCTTAAGGTTTATGTTTAAAGATCGTATCCAGGGGTCTGATTTAATGGGGCTATAGGGAGGTGTTGCCAAACTGATTTTTATTTTAATTAATTTTATTTAAATTATAGATTTGGCAATGCTTGTGGAGAGTCAGGTTTTTAACAACCTTTTAAATCTTATTTAAATTACATATATTTTTGTAAGGGTGAAATGGCAGATCATATTGAAACGAATGTTATTTGTGCAAAGGACCTTGCATTTAAAGCTTTGGATAATGTTAAAGGAGCAGAGGCTGCAAAGAGGAGGAATATAAAGGTAAAATTAAATATTCTAGGATTTTTTAGGATTTTTTCTAATTTTATATTTTTATGATTTTTGAATTCAAGGGCCAATAAAAATTTTAAAAAATTTCTACAATATAATTTTTTAGTTAAAAATCGCCTTAGCTATTTGTATTGTTGTTGGCATCATTTTTATTTTCTTTATGGGAACGACTGTTTTTTGTGTCTACTTTCCATTTGTTTGTCGTTAATTTTATTTTTTTAATTTATGATTATATATTGTGCCTTAAATACTGCTCAAAAATCGGCATTTCTATTTTATTAGGGTATTTTCGAAATATAATGGATAAATCGTAATTTTTGTATTTGTTTATAACCAAATTTTTAGTTCTACTAATTTACATATATTTTTAAAAATTAAATTATTTTATATTATTTTTTACCTATTGGAAAATTTCTATTTATTAATTCTAACGGATTGACTTGGCACAACAGCTTAAACTCCCCAGAATGTTGACGCAAGAAAGGCTCCATTGATGAGTGCAGTCGCTGATACAGAATCCGGCTTTCTCCAATTTGCAAAACTTACCTATAAAAACTTTTATCCCTCGCTCACTTAGATTATTTTACTATAAAAGCTCACTTGTCAATAACTAGGCATACACCGTCAAAAATTTTTTAAACAGTCTTTAAGATTATTTATTGTTTATTTAATTGCTATTTAACTATTCTTTATTTATTCGATTTGATGTCTTCTACAAGCTGTACTTCTGTAAAAAGTGGCAACTCATCGGAAGGTAAAATATTAGAGTATAAATTTAAATCTTGTTTTTTTCATTAAGATGAAAATTATTTTATTGGTCAATTTTCAATTCGAATTAATAAAGAAACCGGGATAACATTTTTTGAGCGCAGTTCTAAGATGATAATTAAAAAAATGACCAGAGATTCTTGTTTTTCTGGTCTTATGTTGCTTGGAGATGAGTTTTTGACTGTTGATGATAAGGCATGTTTGCATTGGTTTAGTTAAAACAATATCTTCTATTTTCAGCCTGCAGTGAATGTTAGTCAATTAAATGGGAAAGTGTCTATTAAATTCCGAAGGGACAGACGTTACAAAATTACTTTACTTAAGAGAGAGGGTAATGATCAAAAACCTGGCTATGAATTTATTTATCTCCAATTTAATTGGCAGAAACGCTTAGGAATGGGGATCCAGATTGTTCAAGAGGTGATAATGTCGTTTTTTCACCTTGTCCAATTCCTTTCTTGATATACAAAAATTTTTTTTTGTATATGGATTTTGGCTTCAGTCATTCAGTCACTTTTCCTGCAATGAGGAGTGACTTGCAATTAGTAAATACAAGAAATAAATGGTTGACCATTTTGTATATCGAGAAAAAATTGGTCAGGGTGTGGAAACGACTTCACTACTGTGAAAACTTAGCTTATAATTAATTTTTTAAACATAAAATTTCAGGGTCAAAATATTATTGTTTCCATGGTTGAACCCAACAGCTTAATAGCGATGTATGTTTTTGTTGATGATAGATTTGTTGACGTCAATGATGTGCCCATGTTTGATGTTGAGACAATAAAAAATGTGTTTTTCCTAATTAATATTTAACAATTAAGTAATTTTATTTTAGGCTTTTCGTCATTGTTTCGCGAATAGTTTACCCATTAAAGTAAAATTAGAGAGAAAAATTGCAGTTACTGAAAAGGTGCCAAATGACGTCCTACAAATTTTAGAACGAAGAAACGGTTTTTGGTGCAAACCTTGTGCTGTAAGTTCGATTGCTGATGTGGATGATAGCGAATATAAAGGTTAAACATTAATGCTTTTAATTGATAATAGAAATATTTCAGTTTATCATGTAAAAAGCGTAGAATCTGTTACAATTGCGTTTGATGATAGTGGGAAGAAGTTAAAAAAGACACCAAGCCCTAGCGGAAGTAGTAGCGGAAGTAGTAGTAGCTTGGACAAGAATAAGAAGAAGAGAAAGAAACGTTGACAGAAAAATATTTTTTGTTTATTTTAATATTTTTTGTTTTTTGTTAAAAATAATTTCTTTGTTTAAAATAATATTTTTGACTCCTGTGCTTTATTTAAAAAAATGTATATTTCATTATCATATACATATTTAAAGTTATTTAAATATTTTCTATTTAATTTTTAAGGAACAAATGTTTAACCGTTTTATCTGTCCAACTTTAATTTTTTCTAAAAATTTTGTCACCAAAAATTCAATAGAATGTTTAAGATCGAGATTGTTTTATCAAAGTAAAAAAAGAGGAATTTTAGAAAATGATATTCTTATTGGGTAAATTTGTTTTTTTTAAATCATGGGAAGGGATTAACAAAATTGAAAAGTATAAGGGCATCTAAATAGCAGAATTTTTAAGTTTTGATTAAAGTAGGACTCCTATCAATTTTAATTAATTTTTTTAAAGAAAATTTGCTGAAGAAAATTTACCTAAAATGAATGAAAACGATTTGGTTAATTATGATGCTATAATTAATGGAAATTATATGGAATGGGATTTATATTATTATTTAACTGGTAATTTGTAAAAAAATTTTTTAAATTGAAAAAAAAAAATAATTTTTAAAGGCAGAAAAGAAGCTCCAAACGAATTAATTTCAAATCCATTATTTAAAAACATGAAAGAATTTATTTCGTTAAATAATCGGAAAGATTATGAAAAATAATTGTCATTATTTTCCATTTAATACATTTAAATGTGCCTGTTTTTGTGCTGTTAATAGTTATTGAGTAAAAAATTTTTTTAATATTAGTTTTTAGCCCCATTTTTTAAAATGTCGACATTTTAACCCATTTTAGACGAGTCGATGTTTTATAAATCGATATTTTAACGTTCCGATATTTTAATCCTTTTTAGCCTTATCGAGCCTTAACTCTTTAGCCTTAACCCCTTTTAGCTTTAACTTCTATTTCTGATATACATATGTAGATGACGGGCAATATAAATGCATGGATCCCAATTAATTGAGTGTATCTAAAAATGAGGTTTAACAGTTAAAGTAAATATCTAAATTAGGTAATCTTAAATCCAAGTATAAAAGCAACAATATTTTAGCATCTCGACAATTACCTTCTAATGTCAACACCGTTCAATTCCTGCACGTTTGGTTTGTCGTCAACGAAAGATGATTATTTTCCATTCTCTACCGGCTTTGCTTTGTACGTTATTTTAATTTTGGAAATTTTGTTTTAATTTAAAAGAAAAAATTTTAATCTTTCTAGTTTTTGCATGACCATTTCAACGATTTGGTGCTTCTGCTGCTCAAAGAAAAAGAAGGGAGATGACAAGGAGGATAACAAAGGACAATCAAAAGTAAAGTCTCCTCCTATTCCAGCTGCCAAAAAAACTGATTCTGCAGCCAAAAAGAGGCGATATTCGGCAACACCTGACAAAGCAAAGCGACAGGCTGCCCAAGCTAGGGTTCGAATACCGGTTGTAAAGCCGGTCGTTGCTGGGAATCCAAAGGCGAAGGTTGGAGATGGTGGAAGTAAGACGAAGAAACCAGGAGATAGAGCAGGGCGGGTAGATCCAACTACATCAAGTCCTACTACAGACAGTGCTCTGCTGACGGTGGAACCAGATGAAGCTGATTTCAAAATGGAAGACTTAAAAATGGAAAACAATACCAAAATGGATTACAATAAAGAGAGTGGAGGAGTGAATTAAATTAAAAATATGACTAGTGAATAATAAATATAATTATTTTTGTTTTCTTTTTGTGTATTTTATACACTGTGGTGCAAAAGTTTATATACACTTTGGAAAATTTTCTTTAATGTACCGTATCTCGACAAGTCGAAGTTTTATCGAGATAATTTTTTTTCGCCTAATAGTTTAAAAAGTGCTCTTTCTAATAAGCTTTAGTTTTAAAAATAACCCCCAGTACTTATTGAGATATACACCATTTCCCAAACTGCTTCAATTTTCTTCGGTGCAAAAGTTTATATACACTTTACAAAAATTGGATTTTTAGAAAAACAAATGGCAGGAAAAATACAAAAAAAATTCTGTGAACATTTTCATCAATACTGAGTAGAAAATAAAAAAGAACGAAGTCCGTAACTGTTTTCATCATCGAGATCTCAAATCACAAAAATCAACGGGAAAACGGGGTACAGTACTTTAAAAATTATTTTTACCCCCCAGGGCTTATATAAAAATTTTCTTTTGGGCTCATTAGAAAGCCCATAAAATTTACTATAAGATAGCCCAGGCTCAATTTTTCCGATAAAAAATTCATGGAGATAGGGGTCGAGGAATTTAATAACTTATCATTTTTAGTCAAAACCTCCCAAAATACCCCACATTTTTACTCATTTTTAATTTTACAGTAAGTAACCCACACGTAAATACTATACAGATTTTTTTACAAAACGAGACCAATGGTATTTTGTAGCAAATTTTATGGGCTTTTTAATGAGCCCAAAAGAAAATTTTTATATAAGCCCTGGGGGGTAAAAATAATTTTTAAAGTACTGTACCCCGTTTTCCCGTTGATTTTTGTGATTTGAGATCTCGATGATGAAAACAGTTACGGACTTCGTTCTTTTTTATTTTCTACTCAGTATTGATGAAAATGTTCACAGAATTTTTTTTGTATTTTTCCTGCCATTTGTTTTTCTAAAAATCCAATTTTTGTAAAGTGTATATAAACTTTTGCACCGAAGAAAATTGAAGCAGTTTGGGAAATGGTGTATATCTCAATAAGTACTGGGGGTTATTTTTAAAACTAAAGCTTATTAGAAAGAGCACTTTTTAAACTATTAGGCGAAAAAAAATTATCTCGATAAAACTTCGACTTGTCGAGATACGGTACATTAAAGAAAATTTTCCAAAGTGTATATAAACTTTTGCACCACAGTGTATGTATGATGTATTGTTTTTGTTGAATCCTATTCTGTATATTTTATTGCACCCTTAAATAAAATTCTGGTTTATCGCAACAGTCGGTTGTAGATATTCGCCTGGGGGGGGGGTGATGTGACTTATAATGAAGTGTCTTAAATAAAGTATACATTTTGTCGAGAATACGCCTCCTGTTTTCTTTTTGTACCGGCACAGGGGCTCGAATAGACGAGTCAGAATAGCATAAGTCCCCCAATTTAATATATACACCTCATTATAGAGTACGAATTTTTAGTCCCAGTGGGACTAAAAATAATGTGGTTTATCTAATATCTTAAATCTTTAAAAAAGGGATCTG